TTTATTTTTATTATTTTATTGTTATTTTTTCTATCTACGTGACTTGACCGAAAGAACCATAGAATATGAGCTCCAGTGTGCTTCCTAATATCGGAAGGAAGAACGTTCCAGACAGCCGCATTATCGCATCTGAAAGCGCGCGATGCGGTGACCGTCTTTGTCCGATGGCTAGCAGACAAAAGCCGCTGCTGCGATGATGACCAAGGCAGTTCGCGTAGTGGTGGTTTATGCGCCTTGACGAGATCAGCAGCAAGGTAATTGTGGTTCACTCGTGGCGAGCGCTCTGTGTGTGTCTAACGAGTGCGACCTTTTCATGCATTCGTTCGGCAACCGGAAGCCAACGCAGCTCGGCGAGCACCGGACTCATCTCGCAGTTAGGGGCCGTCCATAAATGACGTCACGCACCTAGGGGTAGGGGTCAGACATTTGTGACGATGTGTGACGAGGGGGGGGGGTTTGAGAAATGTGACGTCACATCAAAATGCGCAACTTTAAATAAATATAGAATTAAATTTTGATTTAAAGCTTTCGTGACTGCAGTAATTCATATTCTTAGTTTTTTCGGTAAAGTCACGTTGAAGAGAAACAACAAAATAATAAAATATATATAAAACAATAAAAAAATTCTCACGACGTTTCGACCATAACTCAAGATGACCGTTTGAGTTATGGTCGAAACGTCGTGAGAATTTTTTTATTATATATATATTATTATTTTGTTGTTTATCTTCAACGTTACTTTACCGAAAAAACTAAGAATAAATATAGAATTGTTATAACACTCCTACAACATCAGAGTGCAGCGTCACATTAAATACGCACTACAATGACAATAGTTTAAAGCGATTTGAAGCATGTGTTTTATTTTTGGGTGGGGAGGGGGGGCAGAGCTTTGTGACGTCATATTTGAGGGGGGGTTTGACTCTTTGTGACGCCGTGTGACGAGGGGGGGGGGGGGGTCAAACATCGTCCAAATCGCGTGACGTCATTTATGGACGGCCCCTAACCCCGTCACAACACGTGCCAGAGAATGTTGTGCACACTGCAGCTTGGTTATGCTTTTTTTTTGCTTTTTCCAGACGTTCCGTAGAGTAGTGAGTTACAATAATCGCGGCTTGTCGATACGCTACGCTACGCGCAAAGTGGCGACTGATATCTGAGGCGGTGGGGGTCTGCTCCCCCGTCCCTTCGCCAAGCAGCACAGACAAGCGTGGAGAAGTATGGTCAAAAAAGTCCGTCATGGGGGGAGAACTTTCATCTCAGCAGCGGATTGATACAGGAGCTGTAAATGATTCTAACTAAATATAAAATCGTAATTCGATACGGTGATGTATAACGGCAATCGCCTCTCATCCAACACTGTGGAGGCAAGGGTTGGTGGATCGCGCAAATGCTGCGCAACTCTTTTTCCCCATGGGCGTCGAGGAGGCGCTGTACCGTGGCTCGCCGGGAGAGTTTGTGTGGGATAGCGTGTTTCCCCCTCGCACGCGTGGGTTTTTTCTTCAAGGTGCTCCGGTTTCCTCCCTCATTGATTGGCCAATCGCACCGTAATATTTAGAGAGGACCGCAGAGCTCGGGAAATTGTTGGCACCGGATCATCGGCTGGCTGGTGCCTTCCCGTTTGCGCCATCTGAGTCGTTTTGTGTCTACGAGAGTGAGCGAATGCCGTGGTGGCGGCGGCGCGGTACAAGTACGAGGTGATTATGAATAATATCTCATCAGGTTTAAGGAGCTAAACGCCGGATTGAGCCTGGCTGGTGCTTGGATGCCCGACCACGGGGCATACACAACAACTGCTCAATTTATCTCGGGGTCCCACGGTGGTTAGGTAGATGTTATCTCCCTCACCCGGTATGGAGGTCGTGGGTTCGATCCCGACCCCCTACCCCGACACCTGCTGTTTGAGTTTCCATGTCCTCCCCGTGGTCGCGTGGATTTTTACTCCCGGTCCTCCGGTTTTTCCCTCCACATTTATAATCAATATTTCCACGTCATAATGATAAGCCACTTCGTTGAGCCATCATTTGTGATTAGCAGGTCGCTTCTGAAAAAGAGCTAGACAGCTCAGCGGGCCTTATCTGGTAAAATAAATATCTCAAAAAAATCTCCATATACTTAAACCCCCCTCCCTGGCCTTCACACCTGATTGGCTCACAAGACGACATCACATCAATCCCCCGTCTATGTCTATTTAAGACCGAAACAGCATGAGGATTTCTCCACAATCCTGGCTGTCGCCTGATGATGCCGGTTGTTAATTACCGGTTAAACGTCACGGTACTGGAATTGTAAATGCTGCAGTGTTGTTTACTCTCCATCACACCGTTGTGCCGTACTAGTAACGAATTGGCCACGTTTTGTTTACGTGACAAACCTCACTAATTGGCTGTGTCGGGTGGTGGCGGGTTTAACGACATTGATATTAACGCGATCTAACCCCCCCCCAAAAAAGCCTCCGTTATCAAAGTGAGATTTGCGAGGTCATATCGCGCAACCCTAGCTGGCAGTGTGCCCACTCACAGCACCTGCCCCCCAAGAGTCTATTCGTCTATGGCAGGCGGGGGGGGGCAGGCGGGAGGGGGGTGGACGTGGGGGTCTTAGCGTCTGAATGGGAAACGTCTGAGCAGCTGCCCGGCTCTCTACACACTGAGCGCTTTGTTCCGATCTGTCTGCTCCGTGGTCGTCGCACTGCCAGACGACACAGACTCGGCAGACAATGTCTCCCATTCCTAGCTGTGTGGGGGGTGGGGGGGGGGTGGGAGTCGTGGGAGTGCGAGGAGGTTTTGTAGGGCGTGAGCGCCGGAGGCTGGTTCGCGTTGTAAGGCATTAAAGAGGCGAACCCATTGTTGGTTTGAGCTTTGGGTTGGGGCTGGGTGTGTGTGTGTGTCACTGCTGCTGTGGGTTTGGTGGAGGATTCAATAGAATCATCTCGTGATCAATCATGCAGGAATGCGGCTGTGTGCGAGCGAAGCGGTCAGCGTACTGCTTCACGAACCCGGCGAGCCGGGTTCGAGTCCCGCTCACGGCCAACACCAGTGACGATTTTTTGAACCGGCCTTGGGCCTCCCCTAGGTGGACTCAGCCTAAATTGAGTATATCGCCACTCGGGAGAAAAAGGTGACCGGGCGTGGTGCTGGCCACCCACCCTCTCGTGTGCTTGTGCCGGCCTTCATATACGTGCTCCCTAACAGCAGCACTTGCCCCAACAGTCTGTTAAGGCTATACGTTGAAGCTTTGTCTTTTGTCTTTTTGCGTATCTGTTTGTGCACGTGCCAAAATATTTGAAATGGCAAATGAAGGAACTTGGAGAGGTTGTGTCTTTCCGGGACTCATAATGGCCTTGTCAAAGTAATCGCAGAAACCCTCACCAGAAGCTGGGACCAGGCATCTGCCACTTGATGGGTTTCATCCTTGTAAATGAGGGTCTCACTCTTCAAATCCTAAATTAAATCATTGGCAACGAACTTTTATACTGGCAACGAACTTTTATACTTCAATGATGTTGTCAGACATTTAAGTGTCATATCAGAACAGTGGCAGATGAGCGATTCACCGCTTGTTATAGAATGGCCTGTGGAAGGAGATATTACAGAACTATACAGACTAAACTATTTTTTATTTTATCAGGTAACGCCCACTTAGCTACACAGCTCTTTTTCAGAAGCGACCTGGCCACAAATGATAGCTCAACGAAGTGGCTTATCATCACGCGGACATTCATAGCAGCCAAATACTCTAAACGCCGTGATGTTGATTCTAAATGAAGGAGGGAAAAAGCGAAGGACCTGGAGAGAAATCCACGCGACCACGGTGAGAAGATGCAAACTCCAAATAAGCAGGCGTCAGGGTCGAGATTTAACGCACGACCTCCTGTATAGGAGGCGAGGGTGTCAACATCTCCGAACCACCGTGGCGCACATAATAATCTCGCTACCTGATAAGTGGGAGGGGCTATATCAGAAGTGGGCGGGGCTACCCGATAAGTGGGTGGGGCTATCTAAATATGGTCTGGACGATGTAGATGTAGGAAGGAGTTCATATTCTTGGTTCTTTCGGTAAAGTCACGTAGAAGGGAAACAATAAAATAATAAAAAATATAAAACAATCAAATTCTCACGACGTTTCGACTGCAACACAAGCAATCATCATCAGGTGTGAAAACTACAGCAATAATGTTTTTTTCAAGTTTTCTTGCTGTGGTTTTCACACCTGATGATGATTGCTTGTGTTGCAGTCGAAACGTCGTGAGAATTGTATTGTTTTATATTTTTGATATTTTATTGTTTCCCTTCTACGTGACTTTACCGAAAGAACGAAAAATATGAATCCCTGCAGTCACGAAAGCTTTAAATCAAAATTTGTAGGCGGAGTTGACTGAGTAGTGGGCGGGGCTATGTAGAAGTAGGTGGGGCTGACCGAGTGAGCGTGGCTACCTGAGACATGGGCGGGGCTACCCGATAAGTGGGTGGGGCTATGTAAATTTCGCCTGAACTATGTAAAGTAGGCGGGGCTGCCTGTGTAGTGGGTGGGGCTATGTAGATGTAGGTGGGGCTGACTGAGGGACAGGGCTACCAGGTCCACAGCATGTCCCGTTTGAGCCTCCCAGGTAACAGCGGCTTGAACGGCCGTCGGCCACCGTTACTCCTCGCCACTGTCGTTCCCTGCGTGTGTGTTGAACTTCTTTCGCACCGTACGTAGCCAAACGCGCTAATCGGAGGTGCGGGGGAAGGACAACAGACTGAACGCACAAAAAGCAGTTTATAGAGAGTTTTCAATCTAGACGATTTAAAAGTGTCATAGCTCCTGGTGGCTTCCTAGCACAGGAAGGAAGACCGTTCCAGACGGCCGCAGAAAGCGCATCTGTAAGCGCCGTGCAATGCGGGTGACCGTCTTTGTTCGATCGCCAGGATGACAACCGGAGTTTTGCGTGATGATGGTTCATGCACCTTGACGTCATGGCTGAGGTGATGCAGCGCTGTTCTGCGACACGTCTCTTTCAGGGCTCAGCGGTTTGTGGAGAGCACTCAGAAAGCTCGCTTGGTAACCATGGCTCTCTTCTGCCTCGCTCTGCTCTCCTTCACCGCAGGTAAAAATTCACCATAATTCGTCACGATTAGCCCAAAAAGCCTCGAATTTTCTTGAAGCCGTGCTTGTCGGCGTCACTTCGCCGGACGCGCATGTTCACCCGCGGCGAATCGCGGCACGATGTCGCCGCGCCCCGGCAGCTACCGCTGCGTGGGGGGGCCCAGTGACACGAGGTCAAGCGTTTGGCGCGTTCGCCACGTCTCGTTTGTTGTCCTTCCCCTCCCCCCCACCCCTCGTAGCTCCGATTAGCACGGTTGGCTTACGCACGGCGCCAAATAAGTTCAACGTACAAACGTACGCACGTACGCTTCGGAGGTTCGCGGATCGAGCAACCCGGTCCACACCGCCGGTGTTTTAGTCGTTAAGCACGTGGCCCTTCAAGGTCCCCGTGGGTATGTTCGAAGACAGCGTAGGCCACATCACGGTCCACGTTTTATAAGAGCTACGTGCCAAATAATCTCGAATGGAACAACCAAAATAAAGCACGGCGACGTTGTCCTCCTCCTGCTGCTGCCGGACTTAGCGAACCCCTCTTTAAAAAAAAAACACAAAACATGAGCCTTGAGACTCTCGATGAGGCTTCCTTTTGAGTAAATGAACATCATCAGTCAATCAATTAACCACCCTGGAAGATGATGTCACGGAATAATTTATGGCATAGGCAGTGACACATGGGGGGCCGGGGGGGACAGAAGGGCTATTACTGCCCCAATTAGCAGACAGCAGGTGGCAAACAATAGACATCAGCCCCCCACCCACTACCCCAACCCCACTCCCCAAAAGAAAAATCCCAGAGGACAGTGGAGTAGAAGCCGCCTGACCTAATTTTAATGGCGGTATTAAGACGTGTCTGCATTGAACTTCTTTCGTGCCGTATGCAGCCAACCGTGCTAATTGGAGATGCAGGCATGGGATGCTGCTTCTGCTGCTGCGGCGTAATGGTTAGAATTTCTGGACTTGCAATCCAGAGTGTCACCGGTTTGTAATCCTCTTGTGGCAGTTAAAACGGTGCTGCAAGTTCCTTACATCCCACTCCTACTCCCTCCCACGCCTCCCCACCATTGCATCTGTCCGTCCAGCACCCTAAATAGGTACAGCGCCATTGGTTAGTCGATCGCCGGGATTCTCGTGTGGTGGGTTAAAGTTTGGGTACTCCCACCGCTTCCGAGACGTTTGGCTAGCCTGGAAGAGTAGGCCAAAATACCTTCTGGAGAGCTCTCTCTACTTGCGAGGGCCTTCCGCCAGCAGCGGCGTGAGCGAGCTGTTGCCGGGTCGCACTTTTACCTCGACTGAACTCACTGCCTCAAGTTAAGAAACTTTGCGATGTTGTCCCCCTGTGCCACAACAGCTCTGTCCCTGCACGCCTTCTTGGTTCTGGACGTCCCGGCCTTCCTGGCGTGCGCCGGCGCGCTGGGCTGTGGCGTTTTACTCTCTGCCTCGGGCCTAGTACACGGCCTCGCCGCAGCCCGCCGCTCGGCCCAGCTTCCCGCCCGGGTCCCCCGTGCCCCGGCCACCCTCATGCCCCCTCCGCCGCTCCCGCCGCCCCAGCAGCAGCACCACCAGCACCAGCAGCATCACCACCCGCAGCAGCACCAGCAACAGCAGCAGCAGCAACAGCCACCGGGCTCGGGCCTGCAGGCCGAAGCCTCGGCTTGCAGGCCCGAGCCTCGGGCCCGGGCGCTCAGCTTCTGGAACCAGGTGGCGCTGAGCGAGCACGGGCGGTCGGACGACAACGGCGACGATTTCACGCTGGCGGCGAACGACTGCGCCGCGGCGGGGTCCGGGGGGGCGGCCGGCGAGGAGTTGTGCACCCTGAGCGCGTCGCTGCCACACCCGCGCCACCACCAGCGGGTGCCGCCGCACAACGGGCGCGAGAGGTTCGTCGACGTCCCCGCGGAGTCGTGCGGCAGCCGTCGCAAAACCGCCTCCATGTCCGACATCGTAGCCGAATCGCGAAGGCAACAGCCGCACCAGCAGCAGCCTCACCAGCAGCAACAGCAGCAGCACCAACAGCAGAAGCAGCAGCAGCACCAGCAGCAGCACCACCACCACCATCAGCAGCAACAGCCGCCGCCGCAGCAGCATCAGCAGCAGCAACAGCGTCATCACATGGATCCGCTCTCATTGCTCAGCAGCAAGATGGCGGCTGCTGGTGGCGGTTGCTCGGGTACCGCGACGATGGGATCACGTGACCGGCAAGGAGCCAATCAGCATGGGCCGGTGTCTGGAGACGCCCGGCCGTGGAACGGCGTGACTCGTGAACTCAAGGCGGCGCAGGCTCGATGGAGGCTCACCGATATCAGCAACACGACGCTGGTGTGAGCCGTGGGCGAAGGCTTTGCGATCGCGGGCACACACACACTTAGCGATTTTTTTTTTTATGAGCGACCTGGCTTTGCGATGGTGCAAAGTTGTCAGGATGCGGCAAAGTATGTGTAAGCGACATCACAGAGGTATTTGCAAACATTGTTTGCAAAGTCTTCTCACTCGTTCCGTTGTCGACCGGCCCGGCAGGTTACTCGAAAGGTCAAGAAGGAGTTGACGTGGAGTTGTTGACAAAACGTAACTTTTCTTCCAACTCGCTCGGTCTGCTTCGATCATTTCCCACCACCCAGGGCAGCCACCTCCACAACTAATGCTGAGCGACACAAAGTACGGTTGCCACCTCTTGAGATACACAAAGAAAAACAGGATATGCCATGGGAAGAATAGCATACAATACCAAGAGGGGAGAAGGCCATGTAAAATTATGGTCTTGAGTAGTGTATCATTACATATTATAATTATTATTATGCAACTGGCAAAAACTCGGACTTTTAATGTCCTGCGATCCCGCAAAACCAGGAGAGGTGGCAACCGTAGACGTGAGTGACCACAGGGCGTCAACACCGGTGTCCAGGTTGTACGTAGTGAACGACCATAGAAGGACGCTGATGTCGCGTCGCATATTCGCTTACGGTGTCGCAACGGCACAAGTGCGTGTGCGCGCGTGTGCACTGTGTATCTTTAACCGGGTCAGGCGGGTGTCAACCCAGTAGGCAAGCGGGGCGAGCCCACAGGGTTGGTTGGTAAGCCCTCGCCTTGCCGACCGCCGTTTCTGCGACGTCGGCTGAGGTGTGCGGTCGATGTCGGCTTCGTTTTGACCGCCGGAAGGTCGCGGCAGGGTCAGGCGTCGACAGTCGCCGATAATGGCCTCGGCCAACGTTGCCCACTTCTATCCCCTGCTGCCGCCGCCATCGCCGTTCTTGGGACAAGGACCAAGTGAGGCGTGTCCCGTTCGCGTCACCCGACCGAGATCCCCCAAGACGGGATGCGAGTGCCTCCCTCGTGTTGGCTGAGTGGGCAGTCGAAGTCGTGGTGTTGTTTTGGCGCGACGGGACAAAAAGTCGCTCGGGGGAAAGAAAGAAATAAAACAAATCGCTAAGTGTGTTATGCGTCGGTAAAGGCAGGCGCAACCCCAAAACGAGCGCTCCCAGCATAGCGTGGACGATCGTCGCAACGTCCATTCCCCGTCGATCGGTGCAGGGGTGAAGGTAAAACTTCTGTCAAGGAGACTTCACGTCCTCGGGGTTGTACCGCTCGGCACGACGTCTGACGTTCCGCTCCACGTGCAAGGGAGCTTCTTCGGAAGCCGAATTGTTTCCTGAACACACAACCATTTTTCCTGCCAAATTATATACTCCAGTCTATCGTGCCAACATACGACGCATCTGTAGCCCCTTTTTACATGCTTAAATATGAATGCAAACGGAATTATTATCAGGCCTTTGCGAATTTACTTCTGGATCGAAGGCCTACCCCATGCCAGGTTTGTCAAAGGGGTTGTTGGACCATACTTCACCACGATGGTCAGTTCGTTTTGGTAAAGGTGGCAACCAGTACTACTGGTTCATTGACGTTAACCGTGGCTGAGAAATCGATCTTGGGGCCACCAAGTTTATAGCATAGTGCATTAGCCACTGCCAAGAGTTCAATCTCTGAGGACTCAAAAATATTTGGTGTGAATGCCAAGCAAGAAACAGGGCACAGCATGGATAAGAGTCGATGGAGCGGACGTCAGAAGTAGTTCTGTGAAGTCTCCTTCCGCGGGGCATTCTTCATCACGGGGGGTGATGTTTTAAACACCGCTCTCCGTCAAAAGTGCTCCAAATCGATCCTCGTCACAAGACGCGATTCCGACGGCGTCATTGGAATAACATTTTTGACACGATTGGCGATGATTCAAATCCCCCCACCGAACGGACCCAAAACGGGCCGTTGGGTAGCATCCCTTGGCGTCACGCGCGCTTGCTGGTTCGCTTCTTTGGGTTGTGCCTTCGTTAAAGCGATGGCGTGAGTAAGACGGAGACTATAGCAATTGTCAAAAAAACTATACAAATTACGTATATATCAAGTTCCGGTAGGTATACTCGTAGCATCGTTCACTTCGATGGAGACTGACGTGAATAAGGCAGCCTTCAAACTGCCGGAGGCAGCTCATCGTGACGTGTCCTCATATTTTCCAGACTCCCCCCCCCGTTCTCTTCTAACCGGTCGTGCGTTCGTGTGTTGTAAGATTCTCATATTTCTCGAAGGAGGGGGGGGGGGCATCATTCGTCTGGAGCTGAAGGCGACGGGAACGAATTACAGAGAGGCGCGGACAGAGACAGAAGACTCGGGAAGGCAAAAGAGACAAGTATGGAGAGGCATTGGAGAGAGACAGACACATATCGAGACAAACACAGAGGGCAACAGACACGAAGACTTGCAGACAAGTGGACACGGAGAGACAAGGTGGCTACGCAGAGACAAGAAGAGCAAGAGGCAAGCGGAGGTAGAGAAACAGAGACGCAGTCAAGCTGTAGAAATGGAGATGCAGCGAGAGACATGGAGAGGGACGGTAACAGTACCTAGCTTCACCGTTAGTTCAATGGAACTCCTAATTATCTGCCGTCAGATTGTCTGCCACAACCGTTAGCCATGGCGCAGAATTGATCGGAAAACACTCATTTTGTTTGGGCCTCAATAACTCCTATTATCAATCATTTGGAGGAAAACTCGGAAGCAACCGCGCCCTCTACTGCAGCTCATTTGCAGGCGGCTGCTGCTGGTGTGGCACGGGGACAGCTGCCACTGGGGGCCCCCTCGGTATAGACTGCAGCAGGGCGTTGGAAAGCTTGAGGTGGGAAGTGATGTGAAGGCGAGTTGTACCTCCGATTTCCCGTACCTCCGATGAGCACGGTACGCAAAGTAGGGAGCGAAAGAAGTTCGACATGAGTACGTACCGAAACAGCAGGGCTTTCTACACAACTCCGGCTATCTCCTGATGAGGCTGGTTGTAATCACCAGCGAAAACGTTGTACACAAATCGTAAATGTTGTGAGGTTACTTTACAACACAGCGGTGTGCTGTACTAGTAACTAATTGGCACGTTTTGTTTACGTGACAAACCTTACTAATTGGCTGTGTCGGGTGGTGGCGGGTTTAACGACACATTTATATTTACACGATCTAACACACGATCTAACCCAAAAAAACCCTTTATTATGCATAATATCGGTCGTTACAGCCTACGTGTTAAACATACGTCCTTTTATCCATGTATTAGAAGAGTCGGTGTGGCAACTTCGTCATCACCATCATCACCATCACCCCATTGTCCGTGATTATTCATGGATAACCACGCAGACGAGGAGTTACTTTTATGGCTTTTTGTGGAAATATATGATTTTGTCAATGGCAACCCCCACCCACATCGACGCGGATAATAGGATTTTTGCTCGTCTGTTGTAGGGGCGGCCGTATCCAAGCTCAAAGATTTTTGTTGGGGGTTCGGGAGGGGGGGTAATGGAGATGGGGTGGGGGAGCAGGAGGGGAGGCACCTGACTGGGTCTAAGTACAGCATTTGTTGCCACTTTTGTCTGCGTGAATCCTGTGTTTGGCGGTGATGGTAGTGGTGGTGGAGATGTGCGGTTTATAGGTAGCGCAGTATTAACCCTTTCCCGTGCCGATGATGTCCGTGTACGTCATTAGAACGGAATCGGAATTTAAAAAAAATAACTCTATCGGTATCGAGGCTCCCACAAGGCCATGGGAGAGGCTGTGTGGCACAGTTTGGCGCTAGCTATCGTAGAGTGTGGTCGTGTCGCTACAGTTCTCTGCGGTGAGTACAATGTCTTTAAAAACAGTGGTGCTACTACGCCTCTCTAAATGAAATGTGCGCTGAACCGCTTGCGTGTTTTCGAGATTCAGCGGTGAATGGGACAACCACCCTGCAACTTGCAGTTGTCTGGCAACGGGAAAGGGTTAAGTAGCCAGCAGATTGCTGACTGCAAATCACCTGTGCTGACTTATTGAGTAAGCAATCGCTCCCCCGTACACTATGACGAGGTATACCTGTAAGAATTTCTCCCCTACCCTGAGAATTGTCACGATTCTGTTTTTTTAATTTTTACTCGGAGGTGCTTTGTAGCATCCCCTTTAAGTGGCTGCAAAGGCCACGTGAACTACGCAAGATGGTCGAGAGCGGCGAAGATAATGGATGCACACGGGGACGGCACAGTGTGTCATCGTAAACATGCGCACGGGTGCACCGTGAGTGTAAGATTCTGCAGTTATGGATGAACCGATGGCATCAATGCACCCGCTCCGCTGGCTTGAGGTGTGGGGCCATGCGCGTCCGTGGCCCAGAAATGCTTTCGGGCCGGGCGCACAACACCTGAGCGATCGGTTGCATGCAGCTGAATCACTTACACGTTGAAAGCGATCTGCTCAGAGATTTGTCGCAACGTCTTTCACCACGTGACACATTTTCAAACTGTGATTGGTTACGGTCCTGATGTGGGTGGGTGGTGGGAGGGGGGAGCTAAGGAAAAAAATGGCGGAGCGTAGCTGTAAAGCGCGTGGCCAGACGTGTCCTGACCGCACAACTACCTGCTCGGGTGCGGACAAAGCAGTCGCAGGCAATGTTTGAGGTTAATCACCAGAGTGATCTGGTTGTGCGCAACTTTATTGCTCAGGTGTGAAAGCCGGATTTTTCGAAGCGGGGTTGTTGGATCGCGGTTGAGAGTTATCGCGTGGAACAACGTCCAAAAGCAGGACACCCCGCCCCGGGGCGAATGCAGAACGACCAACAGGAGGCTGCTGACCTGCGTCCAAATTGATTGGCCCCCTCTTGTACGCATGGCCGTTGGCCCGGCAACTTCGTCACCTCCGGTGTTCCTCCCCGCCACGTGCAAACATGCAGAGGCGCATCCGTAGAACGTCGCAATGTAGCGGGAACCGTCGCGTGAAAAAGATGAGTCTTGAGACTCGGTTGAGGTTCCCTTGCGTAACCGGTCTAGAGATAGATCGATGCGGGCGAACCCTTTTGGAAGAGATGCCTCGGGCGAGAGCATAACACACGTGCTCCTTTATTGTTGTTGTTGTAACGTAGTCACAGGTAACTTGCGAAATTCGGTACGAGGGCTATTTCACTGTTCATGCAATGGCCTAACCCTTGCAAATTATATCACAGGGTCTCTCACCACGGACCGCGGCCGGGCTTGGGCAAGGCAGTCTGTTTTGCAGAAGTTTAGCGCGTGGGCTGTAGTGGGAATCAAACTGCAAACCTCAAAGGGCACTGGCTCGGTGGCAAGCCAAGCGGATAGCCAGATCGTCGATGCACTCGACACGTCTTATGCTCCAAGAGAGCGATCGTCGTGGGACGATATCAAAGTTTGACGGTTACTCCGAAAACTCAAGTATTGCTTATTGTTGCTTGAGTTAAAAAAAAAATGTCGTGTGGCACACGCAAACACACACACGCGCAACGCACATACGCGCAACGCACACACACGCAACACACACACACGCAACACACACACACGCAACACACACACGCAAACACACACACACGCAACACACGCGCGGCCGATCGGAGAGGACGCGTGTGGTGGGGTAAAGTGTGGGCACTCTCACAGTTTTCAAAGACGTCTGGAGAAAGTCCCGACTAGACGATGTAGTCCCTTCCGCCAGCAGCAGCAGCAGCGTGATATAGGACATTTTCAGGGCTGCACTTTTACCGTCTGCAAGATGTGAATCCGAGATCTGCAGGGACATTTCACCTTTTCAAAATATTTTATTCTTGTTTCACTCAGGACACCGCCTGAATGTGAAATTGTAAGTTGTTGCTCTGCGTCTACATCAAGCCGTACAAAAAGAAAAGCAGCAGTATGGAAGCAGTTCAAATGTGGCGTGCAGTGGTGATATCTAATAATAATCTGGATTTATTTTTGTTGGAAATTCCATAGCATCTACAAGCACCTTGCACAACATCTCATCTCAACACAGTTATTTCTTCTAATTTTCCCAGACAAGGCCCACAATGCGCTATACAGTTATTTTTTTTCCAGAAGCGATCTGGCCATAAATGAAAGCTCAACGAAGTGGCTCGTCACGTGGAAATTTATAGAAGCCAAATACTCTCAACACACGTTAATTCTAAATGTGGAGGGAAAAACACGGAGGAACCGGAGAACAATCCACGCGACCACGGGGATTGAGGGAGACACGCAAACTCCAAATTTCCAGCAGGCGTCTGGGTCGGGATCGAACCCACGACCTCCTGTATACCAGGCGAGGTAATTCACATCTCGCTTCGATAGGGGGAGGGACCTCCCTTAGTGGCAGCTGTCTCTGTGCAGTACAAGGCGGCGACTCAGCACCGCACCGGCTCCTAAGTTTGCCTTTCATCTGCCACTTTTCGGGAGGGGGGGGGGCGGGAGCGATGATTGCCACCGCTGCTGCTGCTGCAGTTTAACTCTCAAGTTATTTTTCAACACCCGTGGGTGAAAATGTTCTCCTTCACCCCTGCCCCCTTATAGGCGGCCAATTTGATGAATTGTCGCGATGTGAGGTGGGGGAGGGGGGGGGCCGCGATTCAACGCTGACCCTCGTCGCGCGGCGTGCCCACCGCGGTGTGCCCACCGCGGTGTGCCCACCGCTACGGTCGATTGATGCGTCGGCTATGACATAGCGTGGCTATTGTGAGCGCGCACGTGATTCCTCGCGTCGCATGAAACGGACCGATGTGGGGGAGTGCGGCGGAGTCTCGTATCCGAAGGCGGTGGTCTTCACTCATGTTCAGAGGTGGGGTGTGGGTAGGAGGTTGGGGGTGGGTGGGCGGGCGGGCGGGCCCAATTTGGCCGATGAGACATCGTCAGCGTGAGGGCCGTCACGCGTTTGAAACCATTGCTGGGTTTGACATCAGCACGATGATGGCGGGGAGGGGGGGGGTCTTAACATGTTGTGGATTGTTGGAGGCCGCACGGTCACGGGGCCACACTAAATGCCCCGCGGGGCCTTGCAACGAAGAACCCTGGGCTGTGGAAATGTACCTACGTCACGGGGGGGGGGGGGGGGGGGGGTGGGTCATTACTATGAGCTACAATATTTGAAACTTTGGAGATTATCTCAGAACTCGTAACGCTAAGCCTATGCGATTAGTGGCCCTGATGGTCAATTTTTGCCACCACAGCTACATTATTGCCCTTCTTGAATATTATAAATCTAAGCAGGATTTTATTTTGCACTTGTACAGTAAAGCCTGTTTTTTTTGTCAATCCACTGCTGGATGAGGACCCCCCCCCCCCACCTTGAGGGCCATGAGGTATTTTTAGACCATACTTCACCTCGCTGGTCGGTCAGTGCGGGTTTTTGATGGTTGGGGTAGTGGACGGAGTGTGGGGACATCACGGTATTTCTGCTACACTGCCCTCTACACCCCCACCGCGCCCACGACACTTGTCTGGAATGCCCAGCGGTCACCCGCGGATTTCCCAGCCTCAAACCTTGCTTGGCTTGTGGCATCATGGGGGCTCGTGCCGATGCCATTTCGACCACAGGCAACACGTGCCACTCGAGGTCTCGCGTCTGCGATTCAATGCATCTACCGCGAGCTTTGTTGGTGCATCGTAACGAAATTGATGACTGCACGCCCTATTGGCAGGCCAGAGCCATTCTAACGGCGGTGAGGGGGGGGGGGGGTAGGAAATAAATCCACATTCCTATGACAGCATCAGTCCATCCAAAAGGAGCGTCTCTGTACCACACGACGTTGAACAGGGAGTAGATATTATTTTGTTCGTTTGGAGGAGGAGGAGCTCTTGTACTAACGGTAATAGCTAGGTAACAAGATCGAGCGGTGTTAGCGACGACTAACATCGGGTACTACGTTCGTAGATTGCCGTGGGTCTTTTAATCGATTAGTGCCACAAGGTTCGTCAACGGGATAAATCGCGCGCGAGTCGTCAATGTCCGCGTCACGTTTTGCGCGTTTTCTTTGTGCGTCGCGGTGCGCTGACGAGCTCCACGTTTCATGATTTTGTGCTAAAAAAAGAGAAAAAGGCCCTCTGAGGTGCTTGAGAGTAGAGATTTTGTTTCGTTTTTTTTTGTCTTTTGGTTTATCATTAAACGTTAACTGTTCCATTTCTATGGCCTGTCCGAAATGTGTGATTGTTATTGCCTGGTTTCCATATACATATGTACATGTGTAACATATAAACACAAACAGGTGTTTGTGAGCACCTATTAAGGACATCGAATCGGATGACGTGGCTCACGAAACGGCTGAGTCTCTGGGCAGTGTTGAGTCTATGGGCAGTGCTGAGTCTATGGGCAGTGCTGAGTCTATGGGCAGTGTTGAGTCTATGGGCAGTGTTGAGTCTATGGACAAGTTTGAGTCTATGGTGCAGTGTTGAGTCTATGGGCAGTGTTGAGTCTATGGGCAGTGCTGAGTCTATGGGCAGTGCTGAGTCTATGGGCAGTGCTGAGTCTATGGGCAGTGCTGAGTCTATGGGCAGTGCTGAGTCTATGGACAAGTTTGAGTCTATGGTGCAGTGTTGAGTCTATGGGCAGTGTTGAGTCTATTGGCAGTGCTGAGTCTATGGTGCAGTGTTGAGTCTATGGGCAGTGCTGAGTCTATGGGCAGTGCTGAGTCTATGGGCAGTGCTGAGTCTATGGGCAGTGTTGAATCTATGGGCATTGGTGAGTCTATGGGCAATGCTGAGTCTATGGGCAGTGCTGAGTCTATGGGCAGTGCTGAGTCTATGGGCAGTGCTGAGTCTATGGGCAGTGTGGAGTCTATGGGCAGTGTTGAGTCTATGGGCAGTGCTGAGTCTATGGGCAGTGCTGAGTCTATGGGCAGTGTTGAGTCTATGGGCAGTGTTGAGTCTATGGGCAGTGTTGAGTCTATGGGAAGTGTTGAGTCTATGGGCAGTGTTGAGTCTATGGGCAGTGCTGAGTCTATGGGCATTGGTGAGTCTATGGGCAAATGCTGAGTCTATGGGCAGTGCTGAGTCTATGGGCAGTGCTGAGTCTATGGGCAGTGCTGAGTCTATGGGCAGTGCTGAGTCTATGGGCAGTGCTGAGTCTATGGGCAGTGTTGAGTCTATGGGCAGTGTTGAGTCTATGGGAAGTGTTGAGTCAATGGGCAGTGTTGAGTCTATGGGCAGTGCTGAGTCTATGGGCAGTGCTGAGTCTATGGGCAGTGTTGAGTCTATGGGCAGTGTTGAGTCTATGGGCAGTGTTGAGTCTATGGGTAGTGCTGAGTCTATGGGCAGTGCTGAGTCTATGGCCAGTGCTGAGTCTATGGGCAGTGCTGAGTCTATGGGCAGTGCTGAGTCTATAGGCAGTGCTGAGTCTATGGGCAGTGCTGAGTCTATGGGCAGTGCTGAGTCTATGGGCAGTGTTGAGTCTATGGGCAGTGTTGAGTCTATGGGCAGTGTTGAGTCTATGGGCAGTGCTGAGTCTATGGGCAGTGCTGAGTCTATGGGCAGTGCTGAGTCTATGGGCAGTGTTGAGTCTATGGGCAGTGTTGAGTCTATGGGCAGTGTTGAGTCTATGGGAAGTGTTGAGTCTATGGGCAGTGTTGAGTCTATGGGCAGTGCTGAGTCTATGGGCAGTGCTGAGTCTATGGGGCAGTGCTGAGTCTATGGGCAGTGCTGAGTCTATGGGCAGTGCTGAGTCTATGGGCAGTGCTGAGTCTATGGGCAGTGCTGAGTCTATGGGGCAGTGCTGAGTCTATGGGCAGTGCTGAGTCTATGGGCAGTGCTGAGTCTATGGGAAGTGTTGAGTCTATGGGCAGTGCTGAGTCTATGGGTAGTGTTTAGTCTATGGGCAGTGCTGAGTCTATGGGCAGTGCTGAGTCTATGGGCAGTGTTGAGTCTTTCAGGACTGCTTCGTGAAGTAATTTATTAAGGACCCACCGTATTGTATTCACGTGGCATTGGGGCCCTTGAAATATGAAAGTATATATATATTTTTAACCAAATTCGAAAAAAATTGATCCTCTTAGTGTGTTGGTTGCAGGCCCCTGCTCTAGCGGACGACCTTCCGCCAGCAGTAGCGTGAGCAGGCAATTGCACGGCTCCGCCTTTACATTATTATTGTCGTTTAGGACCCAAGTTGGCCCGGGTGTCTCTGGTCGGACCGCTGAGCTTTGCACTGCCGAAAATCTGAGTTCGAATCCAGGTTTTTCAGCCGCATGTGGTTGAACCAGGTTCTCAAGTGCCGTGGAGCTGATGGTCTCATCCTGGTCACCATTTACTGCACAGCACACCGACCAAAATATAATAAAATTTGGTTCTGCAGTTAACTTGGCTAAATTCCAGCTCTGACAATTAAAAATATCGTTTGGAACCGTCGTGTGACGGACATTACTCTCATATGCAGGGCGGGTGGGATAAATCCATACCTGGCCGCCTTTGTCTCCCCAGTGTTGAAGTCTATGCACCACACCAGGTACTCATTTGGGGCTGAGTTGCCCTGTGGGAGGCCCAGGACAATTTCAGATACTGTATACGCCACTGCTGTCAGTCATGGCTGGGAATTGAACCCAGATCAGTGAGTTCGTAGTGAAGTGTGCTAATCACTATTCACTCTCCCACCGCTCTACATATCGATGGGATCATAACACATACATATCCATACACACATATAATTTAATCAGTTTATTGTAAGATTGTAATTTAAAAAGGTCATAGGTTTACAATACACCCAGCAATTATAAAGTATCAAATACAAACAGTATAAAACATTTATACACCAAATGTTTAATATTGTACACACAATAGGTGGCCCACCGGTTCAGCAGGATCGTAATGGCCGTGTCCTTGAGATTTGGGATCTAATCCCGGTTTCAACCGCCCGTGAGTAAACCGGCTGCTCAAGAGCACTGCGTTGAGAATCTGAAGTTGCGGTCACCAATGACTGCACACAAAAAAACCGTCAAAAAAATTAATTCCCCTGCACCCAGGCCTGAGAGTCAAAAATAAAAACAGACAGCCGATCGCTGGCACTCTGCGAAAGACGATTTACACAGCACGAAGGAGCGGCGCCGAACGTTTGGTTGAGAGACGCCTATCGAAGCGACTGCAACTGAAGTGGCTCTCATCGGCGTGGGTCTGTGGCATCATCGTCATCACCATCTTCTTCTTCGTATTCCGGAGTCTGATCCCTAATGTGAATTGAGGCTCTGTCGACTGTAAGAGTTCCAGGAGGACGTTTCTTCTGCTTCAACCCCACCACACCGTCACTGGGCCTTGCTGCTGCACGTGTCCCTAGCTGCACGTGTCCCTAGCTGCACGTGTCCCAAGCTGCACGTGTCCCTAGCTGCACGTGCCCCTAGCTGCACGTACCCCTAGCTGCACGTGTCCCTAGCTGCACGTGCCCCTAGCTGCACGTGCCCCTAGCTGCACGTGTCCCTAGCTGCACGTGTCCCTAGCTGCACGTGCCCCTAGCTGCACGTGTCCCTAGCTCCACGGTTCCTTTCTGCACAGAGTCCTTGCTGCATGGGTTCCGGACACAGGGCCAAGGTCTCTGTGCGGCCAACCTCCACCCGTCAGGGTCTTCACGACCACACAAACTGCAGTCGTGGCACCGTAGAAACAATGTAAACTGAACTATAAACATTTGTTTTGAATTTTACCAGGTAAGGCCCACTGCGCTACAGAGCTATTTTTCCGAAGCGACCTGGCCACATATGATAGACCAACAAAGTGGCTTATCAGGTGGAAATTCGGAGCAGACATATACTCTAAAACCCGTGTTGATTCTAAACATGGAGTATTGTTGATGCCTGTCCACTGACTCAGTTCGGCGGATGGCTACGGAAACTCCACATGGCCACCGAGGACGCTACCACATGGCTCAGTTATTGTGTACTTGCTGAATGAATTCGTGAGCTGTTGAGTGAGTGGATGAATCGGTTGGGTGGGTGAGTTAGTGGGTGAGTGAGTGGGTGTGGGGAGCAGTAGTGTAGCGGTTAGCGCGCTGCGCTACGAGCCCGGCGACCACGAGTTAGATTCCCGCTCACGGCCAACACCGGTGACGAATATCTGGACTGGTCCCTTGGCCCTCCCAAGGTCGACCCAGCCGCAAATGAGTCCCTGATGCGGTGTGTATAAACATCGCCCCTGGAGCGACAAAGGCGGCCGGGCGTTATGCTGGCCACCCACCCATTGTGTACCATTCCGGCCTTCATAGGCGCTCGCTAAAAGCACTTGCCCCAACAGTCTGTTTTAGGCGATACGGGAGATATTTGTCTTTGAGTGAGTTGGTTGGTGGGTGAGTGGGCGAGTGAGTTGGGGTGCAAATTGTGGCTCACTACAATCGATGGGGCATATTGTTTAAAATTGCCTGCTGTCTCAGAATCAGAATATTTATTTAGACTGGAGGAATCCGAGGAGCTATGTGGCTCTTTTTTTACACAAATGTCCAATTTGAACGGAGGTCTATGGGTACGACACGTGGCCACCGTGGATGTTATGGCTCGCTGAATGAATGAGCAGCACCAAGCAGAACGGACCGGCCTCTCCCCGTCAGCATTGGATAGAGATCCCCTCGGTTGGTGGCCCCGAAGCAGCGGTGCAGATTCCACATTCTGTTAGCAGGCGGCCAGAACCCGCGGTCGTGAGTTGAGAGGTCTAACCTCGGTGCCAACTGAACGTTGAACTTCTCTTGCACCGTGTGCCTAGCCGACCGTGCTAATCGGCGAGTAGTATAAGATTATAAGAACCCCTGAAAAAGGTCACGATTGGAGTTGCACCGAGAGACAGAACGAGGAACGGCATGGATGCGAAAACACAAAAGCGAGTGCTCGATGTAGAAACCTGTGCTCAGAGTATTTGGCTGCTACTATAAATGTCCACATTGTAATCCACGTCGATGGGCTGTCGTTTGTGATGATCAGTTTGCTTCTGGAAAAGAGCTACGTCGCTCAGTAGGGCCTTACCTGGTGAAGAAAAAAATAGTTTCATAGTGAGTAAAAAAAAGGTTATAATCAATGTGGACTAACGCGAGTGGTCGTCGTCGCTGAAAGAGACGATTGCTGGTGGCGGTCAAGATCAAATTCGGAATGGCAACCAACGAAGGTAACCTGCACAAGAGCAGGGCCGCGCGGAGATGGAGTGATAATTAAAAAATATATTTTGTGTGCAGCTACTGGACTCGATGGTTACATTGCAGAACTGTGTGAGATCGTGATAAATTGGGGAGGCCTTCATCCAGCAGTGGATAGATCGTGGCTGGTGATTGATGATAACGACAATGACGATAAAGGCTGTGTTCAAATCGTAACACTTGCTTGCACTCGAGCACCTGCTTTAATTAGTGGCGGTGGCTGAAACCTCGACTCGAACACAGGGTATTGGCCTTGCCGGCTCAATATCCTGGACTCGAACACAGGGTATTGGCCTTGCCGGCTCAATATCCTGGACTCGAACACAGGGTATTGGCCTTGCCGGCTCAATATTCTGGACTCGAACACAGGGTATTGGCCATGCCGGCTCAATATCCTGGACTCGAACATAGGGTATTGGCCTTGCCGGCTCAATATCCTGGAATCGAACACAGGGTATTGGCCTTGCCGGCTCAATATCCTGGACTCGAACACAGGATATTGGCCTTGCCGGCTCAATATCCTGGACTCGAACATAGGGTATTGGCCTTGCCGGCTCAATATCCTGGACTTGAACACAGGATATTGGCTGCCAAAGTTCAATATCCTGGACTCGAATACAGGGTATTGGTAATACCGTCTCGATATCCTGGACTCGAACCCAGGGTATTGGCAGTGTCGGCTGAACGCTCCGACGCGGCCATTACAAGTCTCCCTTAGAGGGAGAGAGAGCGAGAGAGAGAGAGCAAGCGGGCTGGCTGAAAACATTTGCAAGGGGTTTAGAGTTCAGATCCTGGTAGGGGGTCGTCTCAGCTCATTATCCTCATTTACCGTCATCACCATCAATCATCATAAACATCCACAGTCGTTATCACCACCCCCTCCGTGGTCATTAAATAAGAAAAATGTATTCGTGTAATTGACTTAAACAATAGCGTAGGGCTGGCGGACTTTTTCTACGAGCCCAGCGGCAATGAGTTGGACTTTTTATTTTACAAGGTAAGGGCCCAACTCAGCTGTGTAGCTGTTTTTTTTTTCAGGAGCGACCCTGGCGATCACAAATGATGGCTCAACAGAGCGGTTTATCGAATGGAAAGTTACAGCAGTCAAATACTCTAAACGCCATGCTGTTGATTCTAAATGTGGAGGGGGAAAACCCGGAGGACCCAGAGAAAAACCCGGAGGGCCCGGAGAAAAATCCACACGACCTCAGGGAGAGAGAGAGACGTGAAAACTGTAAATATACAACAGGCGCGTCAAGGATCGGGATCGAACCCACGACCTCCTGTTCACCACTGCGGCACCCCCGCGTCACTTCCATGGCTAACATCAGTGGCGGAGTGATATCTGAACTGGCCGTGGTGGGCACCCACCCCCTTCACCAACCCCGTACTGACCAGCGTGGTGAAGTATGGTCAAACGACTCCCATAACCGACACCCATGGGGACACCTTCACCCCAATAGTGGATTACGCACGGGCCTATGAAGTGCAAATTATAATTCACAGATTATAGTTCACAAATTGTAATTCACAAATCATAATTTACAGATTAAATGATACTTTACAACTTAAATGATACTTAAAAAATTCTAATTCACCAATTTTAATTCGCACATTATAATTTACACCAAGTCTCAAGGCTCTGTTTCAGGAGTCACCTCCGCTCTCTGGTTTCCGCTCCTCACTCAAAACTCACTTCTTTTCCCTTGCTCACCCCACGACCACCTCCTTAATCTCCCCCCTCATAATCACCGACAGGTTACTGTTCCCTCTTTATATTCATGGCCATGACTCATTCCTCCCATTCATACCAATCCATTCATCATCATTTGCCGTCATCAATTTCACTTTCACTGAATTCACGCATCACCACAGATTCACCCCCACCGCTTCCTGTCATCTCTTTCATTCACCTCATCTCTCCGCGCGTCGACCATCAACTCATTCCCCTGCGAGCCCGTCACTCGCTCCACCCGCCGACCGTCAACTCATTCCCCCTGCGAGCCCCCTTCTTCACACCTGGTGGAAGTCCCGGAAGCAGCCGAAGCGGCACAGCGGCACGTCGCAGATTCCGCAGCCGAACGACGTCTGCACCTGGCGCCCGGCGCGCGTCTTGCGGCCGTGCCGGGAGCACAGGCGACACACCTTCTTGCCGCGGGCGGTGCGGACCAGCTGGTGCGCTGACATGTTCTCGGCGCTCACGTAGGACACCACCTGGCGTGAGCGCTTGCCCTTGTGGTGCCCCATGCGTCGGTGACCTCCACGCAGCTGCTCCGCCAGGTCGACGCGGAACTGTGGCGGGGGGTGAACGGCAGGGAGGGGGGGGGGCGGGTCAGTCGATCGGTCAAGTCAGCGGCGGTTTAATTGATTACTTTTCATATTTAGTGACCTGCTTGCCATTTTTCTCAATGTTTTTTTTTTAAACTCCCATCGGTTTTTCGTTGTCGTTGTTGTTGTTGCATTGTCTGCCGTTGTCACTTGCTCATGTGGCCGGCGTGAGCTTACGCGTGATGAATGGGACGTGTAAATCGTGCACTACGCTACGCGTTTGCCGTACACTGCTGCGGGGAGAGTAGACGCTCATGGTCTCTGGAGCTGTTGTCTATTTAGCCGACCGGTCCCCACCTCGTGACGATTCACGTGACAGGGCGCGCCGGCTATGCTGACCCGTCCCACACTGGACATCATCGGCGGATTCCTCCCGTCTAAATAAAGATTCTCATTCTGAGATTATTAATTAGTTAAGCAAATGACTTGTGACTCGCCGCTCACTCTCAAAGAGGAACCGCAGAGCGGGCCGGAAGGCAGCGGCCAGGGCGGTGAACCGGCAATACCAAACAGCTGCCCAAGCTCTGCGGTCCTCTGTATATTTTAAATGTTTTCAGCCGATCAATGAGCGTGCATGTGGGGGGAAATCGGAGCGGCTGGAGAAAAGGAACGTGTGCGAGGGGGCAACGCTCTATCCCGTCCAGATGGAACAGGTGGAGTCCACGTTTGCTGTACCGCGACGCAGGGTTATTACACCCCGATGCTCACGGGCAGGGAGTTTCACAACTTCTGTTTGAGCCACCAACCCTCGCCTCCCCAGGGAGGGTTTAAAGGTCACGTGCATAGCCACCACCGCTCGGCTAGTTGCTGCGCACAGGCACAAAGTACCAAATTGCCAAGCGGCCAGCAACAAAAAAGAGGTCACAAACTAAAGTATTTCACCAGGTAAGGCCCCACTGAGCGCCTATGTAGCTCTTTTTAAGAAGCGACCTGGCACTCACAAATGACAGCTCAACGAAGTGGCTTATCACGTGGAAATTTATAGCAGTCAAATACTCTTAAGCGCGTGATGTTGGTTCCAAATGTGGAGGGAAAAACCCGGAGGACCCGGGGAAAATTCCATGCGACGTGAAAGCCTACTACCACGTGGTGTTATAAAGCCTACTACCACGTGGTGTTATAAAGCCTACTACCACGTGGTGTTATAAAGCCTACTACCACGTGGTGTTATAAAGCCTACTACCACGTGGTGTTATAAAGCCTACTACCACGTGGTGTTATAAAGCCCACTACCACGTGGTGTTATAAATCCTACTACCACGTGGTGTTATAAAGCCTACTACCACGTGGTGTTATAAAGCCTACTACCACGTGGTGTTATAAAGCCTACTACCACTTGGTGTTATAAAGCCTACTACCACGTGGTGATATAAAGCCTACTACCACGTGGTGTTATAAAGCCTACTACCACGTGGTGTTATAAAGCCTACTACCACGTGGTGTTATAAAGCCTACTACCACGTGGTGTTATAAAGCCTACTACCACGTGGTGTTTTAAAGCCTAATACCACGTGGTGTTATAAAGCCTACTACCACGTGGTGTTATAAAGCCTACTACCACGTGGTGTTATAAAGCCTACGTGTTAAGGCCTAAGCGGTGTTAAACACCTGGAAGTGGTCCATAATATAGCTGTGTTGTTAAACCCGCCACCACCCGACACAGCCAACGAGTAAGGTTTGCCACCTAAACAAAACATGCCAATTCGTTACTAGTACAGCACACCGGTGGGTTGGAGAGTAAAACCCACACCATTTACAATTCCAGTCACCGTGACGTTTTCGCCAGTAATTACAACTCGCATCACCAGGGATGTGGAGAAACCCTCCTGCTTCCGTCTTACTAAGTGGCCACGTCGGGTGGCGGCAGGATTTGACGACACATTTACACTTCACGCGGTCTAACCCCCCGCAACTGCCACACGTCAAAGTGACCTGGAAGTGGTCGTAATTCTTGGGCATGGGAGGTTCGTGCGGGGACTCGCGGTAGAGCAGCCAGGCGTTGACGATGCTCAGGTTGAGCAGGAACCACACGATGTAGCGCCACCACTTCTTGGAGGCGCGCCCCACCGCGTAGTAGCTCCGGTACTGGTCCGAGCGGTCGACGCCGCCCATGAACCTATTGTAGTGCACCACGGGCGCCGGCTTGATGGGACCCTCGTCCACGGGGCGCACCATGCGAGGGTCCTGGTTGGTGGAGAGCGTCGCCACCACGCGCTTGTCACGCCACACCGACAGCACGAGGCCGCCCTTCTGGAAGAACGCGAAGTCGCCGCGGTGGCGGAGGAGCGACGCGACCTCCCGGGCGGGCGGCGGCAGGCCCCGGCGGCTCAGGCTGACGGTGCCGCAGGCGTAGGTGCCGCAGCGGGAGCGCAGGTCCTCGAGCAGCGCCGGCGAGGAGAAGTAGCGGTCGAAGTAGAGGTGGTGGTTGCGGTGCCAGTAGGAGCGGGTGAGGCTCATAACGACGCGGTAGCCCAGGCCGCCGGACTCCGCCGGCGCGGGGGTGGCGACGGCGGCGAGCCTCGTGGTGCGAAGAGCCGCGTTGCTGGTGCTGTGAGCAGCGCTATCGGTGACGCTGTGAGCAAGACTATTGGTGACGCTGTGAGCAAGACTATCGGTGACGCTATGAGCAGTACTATTGGTGACGCTGTGGGCAGTACTATTGGTGATGCTATGAGCAGCACTATTGGTGATGCTATGAGCAGCACTATTGGTGACGCTATGAGCAGCACTATCGGTGACGCTATGAGCTGTACTACTTGTGACGCTGTGCGCAGTACGATCAGTACAATTCCCGACAGCTGGAGCAGCACTACTGCCGGCTCTACGAGAAGTGCAACCGCCGACGCAGCGAGCGGCGACACTGACGATGCTAAGGGGAACAGGGTTGTCCACGCTATGGGGAACAGGGTTGACGACGCTATGGGGAACAGGGTTGTCCACGCTATGGGGAACAGGGTTGACGACGCTATGGGGAACAGGGTTGTCCACGCTATGGGGAACAGGGTTGTCCACGCTATGGGGAACAGGGTTGTCCACGCTATGGGGAACAGGGTTGACGACGCTATGGGGAACAGGGTTGTCCACGCTATGGGGAACAGGGTTGTCCACGCTATAGGGAACAGGGTTGACGACGCTAAGGGGAACAGGGTTGTCCACGCTATGGGGAACAGGGTTGACGACGCTAAGGGGAACAGGGTTGCCCACGCTATGGGGAACAGGGTTGACGACGCTATGGGGAACAGGGTTGTCCATGCTAAGGGGAACAGGGTTGACGACGCTATGGGGAACAGGGTTGACGACGCTATGGGGAACAGGGTTGTCCATGCTAAGGGGAACAGGGTTGTCCACGCTCCGAGCGGCGACACCGGACGGGATGCCGCCAGCGGTGACGCTCGCACCGGCGGCAAGACGGCGAGCGCCGCCGGACAAAGCGACGCGACCGTCAAGGCTGCCGCCACCAGCGCCGCAATCGTCCGCTGCTTCATCAGCACCGCCGGCAGCGTCATCGGCACCAGCGGGGCCACCGCTAAGGCCACCATGGGCGGCATCACCGATGTTACCACAACCACCATAAGCATCACCGATGCCACCACAACCACCATCATAAGCACCACCGATGCCACCACAACCACCATAAGCACCACCGATACCACCACCACAACCACCATGATAAGCATCACCGATACCACCACCACAACCACCATGATAAGCACCACCGATGCCACCACCACAACCACCATGATAAGCACCACCGATGCCACCACCAAACCCACCACTATCATGAGCCCCACCGATGCCACCACCACCACCACCAACACGACCAGTCAGAGTCCCACCACCACCAACTGCACGTGTGGCACCCGTAGCATTGGCAGCGGCACCGCGGGCAAAAGCAGTCACAGTGCCACCTCCGAGGGCGGCAGCACGCGCAGCGCTGCTGTCGGCACCAGCAGCACCAGTTGCCTGGTGAGCAGCACTGGCAGGGACGCCGGCAGCCCCAGCGCTGTGAGCACCGCCCGCACGATGAGCACCGCCAGCACGTGCAGCGCTGGCAGCACCAGCCGCTCCGCCGCTAACAGCGCCAGCTCCGCCACGACCGTCGGCACTGCCACCGCAAGCACCAGCGCCACCAGCTCTACCACGACCACCATAAGCTGCAGCAGCACCACCAGTCCGAACACTATTGGCACCACTAGCACCACAACTGCCACCACCACCACCGCCGCCGCCGCTATCCGTATCACCATGAGCACCGTCACTACCATGAGCCCTGCCACCATAAGCACCAGCGCTTCTAGCACCACCACCAGCAGCAGCCCTACCACCGTTGGCACCACTAGCACCATCACAAGCGCCACCGCTCGCCATATCACCACAAGCGCCACCACCACCACCGCCACCGCTCGCCATATCACCACAAGCGCCACCACCACCACCACCGCTCGCCATATCACCACAAGCGCCACCACCACCGCTCGCCATATCACCACAAGCGCCACCACCACCACCACCGCTCGCCATATCACCACAAGCGCCACCACCACCGCTCGCCATATCACCACAAGCGCCACCACCACCACCGCTCGCCATATCACCACAAGCGCCACCACCACCACCACCACCACCGCTCGCCATATCACCACAAGCGCCACCACCACCACCACCGCTCGCCATATCACCACAAGCGCCACCACCACCGCCACCGCTCGCCATATCACCACAAGCGCCACCGCCACCACCACCACCACCACCGCTCGCCATATCACCACAAGCGCCACCACCACCACCACCGCCACCGCCGTCACCGGCGGCAGCCGCAGTCGTGGCGGCGCCGTAGGCTGAGCGCCCGGTGTAGATGTCGAAGTTGAGGCAGTAGCCGGTCTGCGCCTCGCACAGCTCCCACACCTTGACGCCCCACTTGGTGGGCTTGGCGGGCATGTGCTGCTTGAAGAAGAGGCGCCCCTTGAAGGGGATCATGCCCTCGTCCACGCTGAGCTCGCGCCGCGGGGAGTAGTGGCGCGAGAAGTTGGCGCGCACCTCCTCCACCACGTTGCGCACCTGGGGGGGCGCCGCCCGGCGGAGGGGTCGTCACGGCGTGCACGGGTGTCAAGCAGCAGCAGCAGCAGCAGGAGAGGCAGCAGCAGCAGAGGTATCAGCAGCAGCAGGAGAGGGCAGCAGAGGAAGCAGGACAAGCAGCAGAAGAAGAAGCCGCAGAAGAAGCAGCGGAGGCAGCAGAGGGAGCAGCAGAAGCAGGAGAAGCAGCAGAAGAAGCAGCAGCAGAATAATCGACAGCAGAAGCAGGAGAAGCAAAAGCAGCAGGAGAAGCAGCAGGAGAAGTAGCAGGAGAAGCAGCAGGGAAGCAACAGGAGAAGCAGCAGGAGAAGCAGCAGAATAATCGACAGCAGAAGCAGGAGAAGCAAAAGCAACAGGAGAAGCAGCAGGAGAAGCAACAGGAGAAGCAGCAGGAGAAGCAACAGGAGAAGCAGCAGGAGAAGCAACAGGAGAAGCAACAGGAGAAGCAGCAGGAGAAGCAACAGGAAAAGTAGCAGGAGATGCAGCAGGAGAAGCAACAGGAGAAGCAACAGGAGAAGCAGCAGGAGAAGCAGCAGGAAAAGCAGCAGGAGATGCAGCAGGAGAAGCAACAGGAGAAGCAGCAGGAGAAGCAACAGGAGAAGCAACAGGAGAAGCAGCAGGAGAAGCAACAGGAGAAGCAGCAGGAGAAGCAACAGGAGAAGCAGCAGGAGATGCAGCAGGAGAAGCAGCAGGAGAAGCAACAGGAGAAGTAGCAGGAGAAGCAACAGGAGAAGCAGGAGAAGCAACAGGAGAAGCAACAGGAGAAGCAACAGGAGAAGCAACAGGAGAAGCAGCAGGAGAAGCAACAGGAGAAGCAGCAGGAGAAGCAACAGGAGAAGCAGCAGGAAAGCAGCAGGAGAAGCAACAGGAGAAGCAGCAGCAGAAGCAGCAGAATAATCAACAGCAGAAGCAGCAGCAGATGCAGCAGGAGAAGCAGAAGCAGCAGGAGACGCAGCAGCATCATCATACATGTTTAAAATGCATACGATGGGAACGCAAACGAAAGCAACCATCTCCTCTTCCTGACTACATCCACGACGCGTTCCCCCCACTCTCTGTTCCTTTGAAGAACCTCCAAGTTGCTTAACTCTATCGTGCCATCATAAACCTTCCAGCAGCAACACATTCCACGAATACACCTTGTAACCCACACACGTGTGTCTCGGAACACACACACGTGGGCCTTGTAACAAAAACAACGATCCTCCCTATAGCCTTCACAGACTATTGGGGCAAATGCTGTTAGCGAACACCTACGAAGGCACACACAGACACGTGTAGCAGACACACACAGAGACGTGTAACACACACACACACACGCAGCACACACACACACACGTAGAGCACACACACGCACACACCACCACTAGCATGAGCCCTGCCACCATAAGCACCAGTGCCACAAGCACTACCACCACCATGAGCAGCACGACCACCAAGCCTAACCACCTTTGGCACCACCAGCACCACTATCACCGCCAGCCATATCACCACACGCCCCACCGCGCTCACCTTGTAGATGGGGTCGTATCCCCGCTGGCCACGGGCAGGCGTCCCCACGTTGTTGCGCGCGTGCAGGTACTGGCTGACCTTGGAGTAACGCGTGTGGGTCATGGTGCCGGACACCCACTCGCAGCGCAGCGCCGGGTTGCCCGACCAGTAGCACCAAACGCGCGGCAGGTCCTTGATGCCCATCATGATGGCCACGGCGAAGAAGGCCTTCATCTCGCGAGACGTCGTGGGCGACCAGAGCGGGTCAGCTTTGCCGCTCTCGGCGATTTTCTGCTCGGCGTAGCGATTGGTTTCCTGTGCGTGGGTGGCGACAGTCGTCCGTTCGCTCGGTCATTCGGTTGACCGGCGACCCTGACGATAACGACGACCGTGATGATGGTGGTTTTTTCATTTCCGTTTTTAATTTATTAGGTAGAACCCTGTGAGCCATGCGGCTCTTGACTCGGGTGGAACCGCAACAAAACAAGAACATGAACAAGAAACATCTTAAAGTGACTACACGCAACAGAAAAATCCTGGAAAAACAGCAAAGTCTTCCAGAAAAAACACCGCATTTCAACGCTGTGTGCAAAAATCCCAGTGGGATGCAAGTCAAACAATAACAACCATAGGACAATGTAGATTGAAGTTATCAGGCTAACTCTGTACTACAACAAACAAACATGGCTAAACCAAAACGTTTTCAAAATCACCAAAATAAAGCTATAAAAACAATGTAACAGTGATCAGTGGTGCTCGGAAAGCCCAAATGGAGTTCACGTGAAGTCACGACCGTCTGAAAGTATGGAAAACCCGAACGCAGAACAGCTTTGACCTTCCGCGGAGCGTATGGGACGCAACCCCAGACAACATCTGCCGCACAAAACCGTGGCAGCAGCGGCAGCCGACAATGCGGATTCTCGATGATGCACAAATTGGGACATTCAAAACTCTCTGTTGTGCGGTGGCCGTGGGTCACCCAGGACAGACCACGGGAGGTAAAACGACTCGATGTCCGGTTCACAAACACGAAAGGGGCGTCCATGCAGAGGCAGTCCACTCCGCTACTCCCGACGCAATGAAGTGGCTCAGCCGACCCGATGTGAAATTAAAGCTGTCGCTCTACACCAGCGTCAGCCATACGAAGGAGAATACTCGGTTAATCCGTAACTTGGTCGGGAAGTCGCTCATTCACTCAGTTGCTCAGTGGCTCATTCACTCAGTCGCACGCTCAATCAGTCACTCAGTTACTTATTCAATCAGTCACCAATTCAGTCACTCAGTCGCTTCGTCACTCAGTTAATGATTCAGTCACGCAGTTACGTATTCACTCAGTCAGTGGCCCATTCACTCAGTCACTAAGTTACTTATTCAATCAGTCACCAATTCAGTCACTCAGTCGCTTCGTCACTCAGTTATAATTCAGTCACGCAGTTACGTATTCACTCAGTCAGTCAGTGGCCCATTCACTCACTCGCTCATTTACTGTCACCTAACTTGTCACAGCCACTCTAAATCCAAATGTCGTCTTCCAGGTTAGGTCCGCACATCGGGCACAATCGATCCGCGGATAAAAAGGGAATCGCGTGGCAAAAGCATCAGGAGTGTGCAGGACCGCTCCAGATGTCACCCGCCACTTGTGTGCGAGCCATGGCGAGGAAGCGAACTCGGTGCAGAAAGTGAAAGGTGTTCGACGCGGTTACGTTGGCTGTGGTCGGATATCGAACTGACTGTGAAAAAAGAAATGGTAAGGAAAGCGTTGTGGGTGTGGTTTTTTTTATATCTGGGCTGTCATTCAGGCTTCGAGCTTGGCCAACACACACAAACAAACACACCAACAGAAAGGAAAGGTTTTGATTTGAAGCTTTCGTGACTGCAGGGATTCATATTCTTGGTTCTTTTGGTAAAGTCACGTAGAAGGGAAACAATTAAATAATAAAAATATAAACACAATTCTCACGACGTTTCGACTGCAACACAAGCAATCATCATCAGGTGTGAAAAACACAGCAAGAAAATAAAAAAATATATTGCTGTGTTTTTCACACCTGATGATGATTGCTTGTGTTGCGGTCGAAACGTCGTGAGAATTTAATTGTTTAACATATTTTTTATTATTTAATTGTTTCCCTTCTACGTGACTTTACCGAAAGAACCAAGGCATAGGAAGGAAAGGGCTTTAGGAGTTTCCCGCCCGACCTTTGTGACGACGTCGAACAGACGATCTGGCCAGAAGAGCATGAAGTAGTCAAGCACGGAGGCGTCGAGCGGGAGGCCGTGACTGGGACCGGCGCTCTCCGTGAACGGCGCCACCGCCACGTCACGGAGCTCGCGGCTCCACGAAGGGGCCTCCGGATGAGGCTTGCGCGAGGCCTCCTCCGCACCACCGTCATCGCCGCCGCCGCCGTCGTCGTCATCGCAGCCGTCGTCGTCGTCGTCGTCATCGGCGTCGTCGTCGTCGCTGTCGCACGCATCCTGCTCCATCGGCCTGGCCCATCGCAAAGACAGGCGTGGTGAATGTTAGGATGGTGATGATGGTAGAGATGCTGCTGCTGCTGCTGAGGGTTCTGATGTGAGGATGGTGATGGTGATGACGACGGTAAAGATGCTGCTGCTGCTGCTGCTGAGGTTTCTGATCAAATGATGTTGATGAAAGGGTCAAACCTATTCTTATTTTTTCACACTTGATGTTGATGCTTGCTACTGCTGATGGTGCTGTCGCTGACTTTGAAGCTATGGTTGATACAATCGTCGGGAATGTTGATGTCGCTGACAATTACGTTTTTGCTCGTGCCAATGGGTGTAACAACAAGGCAGCCCCAATGATGGTGACGTCACAGTCGTGCCGTCAATGACAACGTGACACTTTCCGATTACGAATCACATCACAGTCAAGCTAGCAACTTTGGAGTGGTCCCAGATGATGGTGGTGATTATGGTGGTGCTGCTGCTTCAGCTGCTGCCCAGCCACGGATTTAAACTCCGACAATTCCGCGAACGAAGGCTTCCTTACCACCAGTGCCCTTGCTCCTGCACGCCCACCATGGGCTCCTCCTCGTCCTGCGGCGCCCCTCCTCGCACGACGTCGTCCACATCCACGTCGCTCTCGTCTTCGCCCTCGCCGCTAACCCGGGGCCCCCCGCTGCCGATCGCAGGGGGCCCCCCTCGCGCAGCGCTCCCCGCCGACGGCTCGGGCTCGCGTCGCGCTCCCGCTGTGGACAAGGAGCTCGCGCCGCCGTAGTAGCCCGCGTCATCCGCGCTGAGATCCATGGCTCGCTGCTAGAGACGCGTCGACGATCAGCGGCGTGACGAGCATGGTGGGGGGGGGCCTTACTTCCCCCCCCCCCCACTGCACCCTCACCCCCTGGTGGTCAAAGCTACGAGTTGCCCGGGCCTCCCACTCACCCCCCCCCCCACCTTGATAGCTACCATGAGATTTGTTTTCAACAACAGTGTCGAAGAACAACACGAACAACTCATTTAAAAAGGAGCGCCCCTACAGCGTTAAGTGTTCGAGACCGTGAGCGCAGCGACGATGCGATTCGGCAAAGCGGAGCCGCGATATAGAACAGCCTCTAGGTGCGACCGTGCGAGACAAATCACAATATTGGGTGACCCCCCCACCTGAACCCATTGCCGCAGCCCCCCTGAGCTGATGACGTCGTTAACTATGCCACTGATTGACGATGATACCTGTACAGCAGTGACGTGCGGTGAGGTCAATGGCTGGGGAGGCACTGGCTAGTGTCAGAGCCAGATTCACACACTGCGGGGGGCGTGGGCTCGCGGAGGGGTCGTGGCCTCACTGAGGGGGCGTGTCCTCACTGAGGAGGGCGTGTTAGACACGTCCCCCTCAGTGAGGCAGATGTGATAGCTGCCTCCCCTGGTGCTTTTTCATTGCAGTTTCATGACGAGATCAGCGAGCCTAAATATCTTTATACACATACGTGAAACAAGTTACCTGGAGTATGGAAGGCGAGGACATTAAATGAAGGGGTCTACAAACATTATATTGGTGATACACAGAGAGATAGTAACAGGTACGCGCTTATTGCCAACGCTCCATCCAGTTACTGAGGGATTGCACAATCAGAGGGGAGGCTGAGCTCGTCGCTGCCTCACCTCTCGTCTCTCGCTGTATTTGCAGCGGAGGTCCGCAAATTTGGCGATTTTGATTATAAAAATGATTGGAATCGTACAGAAATGACATTTATAACACAGATCAGTGGAAAAATCTAAATATTTATTTTATTTGATTATTCTTTTTTTTTACTTTTCGTAACAGCTATTTTCATTGGAGTATGACAGGTGAGGCTCTGCCTCCCCTGTCTCGCCTGACCGCACGTCCCTGCTGTACAGCTATTGTGTATATGATTGTGTCTTGTATAGCAAAGTACAATATTTACACATTTTATTGTGCGTGTTCGATATTGCTGTTATTGTTACCACGAAGAGCCTGCATGCAACTGCACTGATTTTGAAATGTATTTATGCTTTTCAAAGATATAATAACGAACGATAGGAATTGTCTGGCTCAATAAGCTTCGGAAAATAACAATGCACCCTAATAAGAGTAAATGGGGGCCTTAAGTATTAAGACTGAACTATTAGTATCCTAATAAAATCTTAATCTGGCCCTATGAGCCTCAAAAATTAACTATGAATGTCTACACAAATGTTCATGGATGACCCTGGCATTTAACATCGGGCTACTCAGGTGCAACGGCTTCGCTGATCACAATACTGCTGACGAGACCCAGCGAAGTTAAAACTGGTCCACCTTTTGCTTGTGAAATATTGTGTAAAATATGCGGTACAGTCATGCATTGCCGATTAATTAACATTATATTTTATTTAGATAGCAAAGACGCCGATGATCGATGCATTTAAATTATTACTTTATTGTCATTAAATATGTACTGGAATGATAATTGAAATATGGATTGTTGCGTGTAATTATTACAGTAAGTATAAATATTTAATCCTTTCACGTGTCAGTCACCACAGTTATTTCTGCAGGATGGAAGATTGTGAACATCGTGTTACATTCAAAACGTGCTCGCTCAATCTCCTGATCACAGCCCTGAAACAGTGGTGGAAATTCCACATTGCCCTGACAGGGGCAAGTCCATCCACATAATTCGCACATTTGAATTATCCGGGAGTGGTACTGAATTTATCGACCCTTGATGGGATGGATGGTAATCTGAGCTTACCCCTGATCCCAGGATTTGAACTTGTGACCTTGAAATTGTGAAACGCGATTTAATAAACCTATACTAATGTTCAAAATGGGAGCTTAAATTGTATGTTTAACATTTTTTAACGAAGAGAAATATAATCGCAAAATTAAACTACTCCTTTGAGCACTATTTCGTAATTAATACGTTTAAGTATAAATTATTGTACATTGTATAACCTGACGGTGGTGGTAGTGGTTGTGTGATAGGGGTGGCGACAGTGGTTATGATGACATGGTTGGTGGTGGTGCTGCTGGTGCTAATGATGGTTCTGGCGATTGTGGTGGTGGTCGTGTTTATGGTGATATGGCTGGTGGTGGTGGTGGTGCTAACGATGGTTCTGGTGATTGTGGTGGTGGTATTTATGGTGGTAAGTGTGAGGGTTGGTCCATTTCCATCGTCAGTCTCCACTCCACCAAAGCCGGTTCGTGTCGCAGTGAACTGATTTAGAATGATTTAGAATGATGAATCGTTCACACTACGCGTTGCTACAACTCAAACACAACACAGATATTATTCCAGAGTTAACAATAATACTGCAAATGCCATCACAGCAAGCGGCAATGATAGCAACACCAAATAACGCTGCAATTAGAACACAAACATTAAACTGACTCTGCACTACGTTACAGTAGGCTCAGTTGCTATGGAGACCACTGCCATGGAGACGAGAGGGCGTGAGTTGCCATGGCAACAAGATAAGCAATGGCAGTGACTAATGATCAGCGAGATGTCTTGTGTACAGACACACTGGCTTAGATTATGGCCAAAACACCCCCAATCTACATAACTTTGAGCTCCACTCTGTTTTAAATCAATCAAATGCCTTCCCCTTCATAGGTAAAGGCTATGACTCCCCATGTCAGCCATCAGTTTCATGGGTTAATGCTGCCTCTTTAGTCTGGGGAGAGACAGAGAGAGGGCATTGAGAAAGAGAGAGAGGCAGATATGTCAATGCAAATTATATGCATTAATTATAATGTATACAGATTACATGCAATGCCTGTATGTGTGTGTGTTAGACCTGTGTGGAGCGTACGGCTGTGTATGTCCGTGTCTATTTGCACGTGTGTCTGTGTGTACATGTGATGTGTGTACGTGTGTGTGTGTGAGCTGGAGTGTAGCGGTCAGCGCCTCTCCACTACGAACCCTATTCCCGCTCACGGCCAACATCGGTGACGAGTATCTGAACCGGTCCTGGGCCTCCCCCTGGGTCTACTCAGCCTCAAATTAGTACCTGGTGCAGCGGGTGAACATTGGCACTGGGAGAGACAAAGGCTGCGCTGGGCATGGTGCGGAACATTCCACCCAGCTGGCATGCGATTCTGGCCTTAATAGGTGCTCGCTAACAGAACCCTGTGTAGGCTTTTTTTTCTGCGTAGCGTGGTGTCTGATTATTTTCGAGCTGTGGATTTTCACAGGGCCAATTTCGGATCGTTTAGTTCCTGCAAGAAGACACTAAATAAAATGTCTTCGTGCGAACAAAAATTGGCGTTACTCAATGCCACGTGACATGCTTTAGAATCTATCCCACAAAGTTTATCCGGTACCATCATCCGATCATTTCTAGGCAGACAACATTTTCCCAAAAATTGTTTTGAATAACCCAAGTATTTGTAACACATCCCAAGCCTTCATCTATCAATGTCTGCCCATGTGTGCATCTCTGTGAATTCGTGTGAACGTGTCTCTGTCAATGTGCGCAATCAATCGTGTACATCTATGCATGTGTTTGCATGTGTCTGCATGTGTTTGTATGTATGTAAGGACGCGACTGAGCAGTTGGAGGCAGTCGCCCCTCTAGCAACAACGGAGGGGCAGAGGAGCGACGCTCACAACAACGAGCGGAGCGCTGGGCGGCTAAAATCCAGCAAGTTGGCACAGTTGGGGCGGGGGGAGAGGTGGTGCATCTACTGGTCATCTCAGTCAGCCAACCCATGGCACCTGCTGGGTCTGTCCCGAGACCGTCGACACTTCAAGTAGCCTCAACGTACACCTAGCCTGGCACAGGCGCCGTGGCAACGTCACCACTACTTTGTGGCGAATGGCACTGGGTATTGGTATTGGTGTGATTGTAGGTGTTACAGTGTGCCTAAACAGCTTTTGTTCGGCCGGATCGAGGGGGCTAAGCGGGCGCGGCACGGGCTAGAGAAGAGATGGAGTGATGTGGTACAGGAGGACGTGGAGCTGAGTGGACTTGCCGATGACTGGTACCAGCGGTGTCAAGATCGGCCTCTGTGGAGGAGGCTCGTGAAGGACGCTACTGGGCAGTTGGAGGCAGTCGCCCTCCAACAACAACGGAGGGCGGAGGAGCGACGCTCACAACAACGAGCGGAGCGCCGGGTGGCTAAAGCACAGCAGGTTGGCACAGTAGGGGGCACAGGTGGTGCATCAGCCAGTCATCTCGGTCATCTCAGTCAGTCGACCCGTGGCACCTGCTGGGTCTGCCCCGTGACCTCCTGGCAGCGGGCGTTCGACACTTCACTTCACGTGGCCTCAAGGTGCACATAGCCTGGCACAAGCGTCGTGGTGAGGTCACCGCCACTTAGTGGCGAATAGCGGTTGTTGTTGTGTGTATGGGGGCGGTAGTGTAGTGGTTAGCGCGCTGCGCTATGAACCCAACAACTCCAGTTTGATTACACTATGTAACACAATTTTTTCTTCCTGGGTAGTAAGTGTTATTTTGTGATTGCGTATGCTTCAAAAGTACAGAAAATGGCTATTATTCTTCACAAACTTTGCTTTTGTGACCAGGACAGTGATATTTTGAAATGTACCTATTTTCAATGAGAAAACGGGCGAATTTGTGTCTTTTTGTTCACATACAGTGAGGGAAAAAAGTATTTTATCCCCTGCTGATGTTGTACGTTTGCCCACTGACAAAGAAATGATCAGTCTATAATTATAATGGTAGGTTTATTTGAACAGTGAGAGACAGAATAACAACAAAAAATTCCAGAAAAACGCATGTCAAAAACGTTATAAATTGATTTGCATTTTAATGAGGGAAATAAGTATTTGACCCCCTCTCAATCAGAA